TATTACTTTATTCATGCAAAATGCCTCAAACATTTTTTTCATGGTAGGAAAAAGTGAACTTTATTATTTATTTATTTATTTATTTATTTATTTATTTTTGTTTAACCAGGGATTGAACTCAGGCCCCTGTACTTGCCAGGCAAGTGCTTATTCTACTGAGCCATCTCCCTGATGATTTTTATTTAAACAAATTAAAACAAGTTAAGAGATGGGGATATAGCTCAGCACCACAACACCTGCCTGGCAAGTGCCAGGTCGTGAGTTTGATTTCCAGTATTTAAAAAAAAAAAAAAAAGATGCCAATGTAAATTTTATCTAAAATTTGACAGTTAAGGTTTTTCTTTTACTGCACTGGGGGACTAAACACAGGGCCTCATGCACGCAAGGCAAGCATTCTTTTTTTTTTTTTTTTTGGCGGAACCGGGGATTGAACTCAAGCCCTTGCATTTGCCAGGCCAGTTCTTATTCCACTGAGCCATCTCCCCAGCCCTAAGGCAAGCATTCTGCAACTGAATTACATTCCCTAACCCACAGCTAAGACTTCCTTAAAGCTTAAAAAAGACTGGGAAATAAATCTTTGGTCTGTTGGCTCTTGATTTCACTATACAGTTCAGGCTGGCCTTGAACTCACTTTGTAGTCCAGGTTGGCCTCAAACTTGCAGCATTTTTCCTACCTCTGCCTCCTTAGGGCTGGAGTAATAGGTATGCACCAAGATGCCCAGCCAGGTGACAGCTTAATTCACATTTCTCCATCAGTTTTTCTGCTCTTTATTCTACTTTTTACTGTTGTTAGGATGGTTATCAGCCATTGCCTCTTTTTTATGTCTCTTGAGTCACTTCCACAAACCAGAACTTTTTTTTTTTTTTAGCGAAACCAGGGATTGAACTCAGGTCCTTGTGCTTGCCAGGGAAGCAATTATTCTACTGAGCCATCTCCCTGGCCCCCACAAACCAGAATTTTTGAAATAAAAGTCCTGGCCCAGCGAGATAGCTCAGTGGTCTAAAGCGCCTGCTTAGGCAAGCTTAGGCAGGTGCAGCGGTTTGATCACCAGCTTCACATTCTGTGCCAGCCCCACCACCAGGGCAGGCTGAACCAGCCACACACACACACACACACACACACACACACACACACACACAAAAAAAAAAAAAAAGAGAGAGAATAGTAATGTATGTTATCTATATTCAGAAGATTAACTGGCTCATCATCTATAGCAGTTCTGTAGATACAGTGAGCCTCATGTCCTTTGAGCCTTTAAATTGAACTAGATGACAAGCTTTATATTTGCACTTAGCCATCTTCTTAGCTATTATTGGGTTTCCCTTTGTACATGACACCATGTGGTACTGTGACCTGCTAGCTGCCATCCTGTGGTTGGGTTACATGGACATATTTTTTAAGGCTTTTGGTTCTATCAGGCCTTATCTTGAAGAAGTATCTTTCAAGATTCCTGAGGAAAATGGCTCCAGAAGAGGAATATGATCCTTCTGCTGTAGGAGGGTTCCTCTAGTTCACAGGAGGAATTTCTACACCAGTTGGCATGTTTAGTCCTGGGCTTTTTTCTTTACAGAGTACCAAATAAAATTCTACAAAGTGACCCAAAAACTTATTACATACTTAAAAATAAAAATTTTAGTTTATTGTTGGCATTCCTAATCTAATGTACTAGGCATTAAAGCCAAATGTTTACAATTGTCAAATCATTTTTATCACTTTAGACATTTTCTAACATGAACAGCAAAGTACCGCTAAGGGAACAATAATTTCTTTTTTTTTTTTTTTTTTTTGTGGAACCAGGGATTGAACTCAGATCCTGGCGTTTGCCTGTCAAGCACTTATCCTACTGAGCCATCTCCCCGGCCCTCAATAATTTCTTAAGAACACAAGGATGTAAAAGTTAACTCCTTCAGCAGATATTTATCAAATATAAATGTGAAAAGATGCCCTCAGAGTCACAAATAGAAGTTATCAAACTGGGATTCAAATTCAGAGCTCCCACTTACACTTGCTAGGCATGTGCTGCACCAGCCCCTCTTTTCTGTTGCACTTTAGCTATTCACCGTACATCATTATTTGCTGGTTCTTTATGTCTATATTATAATCTTAGGTCTCCTTTCTATGGTTAAGCATTTTACTTCAGTAGTGTTTTGTTTTGTATTTTTGTCTTTTTTGAGACAGGGTCTCGATATGCAACTAAGGCTGGCCTTGAGCTCACTTTGGAGTCCCAGGCTAGTCTTGAATTTGCAGCAATTCTCCTGCTTCAGCCTCCCACCTGGGATTACAGGTGTGCATCACTATACCCAGCTATAGTAGTAGCTTTTAATGATTCTTACAGAGTATCAATATCTAGTTTGTCTTTTTTTATTTATTTTTTGGGGGGTCTTTTTGAAACAGGGTTTCACTTGCATTTCAGGATGGCCTTGAAGTAACTTTATAGCCCAGGTTGGCTACAGTGATCACTCCCAATGATCCTCCCCTCTTGTCTCCTGAGTCCTGGGATTATAGGTATGTGCTGCTAAACCTAGCTCCAGTTTGACTCTATTATAGTAGATAATTTTGCTGTTACTGCCAAAAGGAACAGTTATTGCTATTAATTGGTTTTTACTGTATGTCAGTATCAGGTTTCTCTCTCTGTTATCAACAATACTGTGGCTCATTTCTGGAGAACTGGGTGCTGGGACAATTACACTGCAGCCTGCCATCCTAAATTATGGTACCTGGATGGATCTCTGGACAGAGACACAGGCCTATAGTTAGCCATGCTTAGAGTACATCACTGAGCCATGCTAGCAACAAAGGTTTTCCAAAATAAGAGACTTCTCAAATCTCACCAAACAACAAACAATAGAAACATAAGACAAAGTAACAAAATGCCTCCAAAATCTGCCAACCTTTCTCCAAGCTGATCCACAGAGCATTATAAGGGAGGAAATCAAAAGCCAAACTGGCCTTTCAGCTCTCTGAGCAGCACCATGGCGGTAGGCAAGAACAAGCACTTTACAAAAGGTGGCAAAAAAGGAGCCAAGAAGAAAGTGGTTGATCCATTTTCTAAAAAAGACTGGTATGATGTGAAGGTGCCAACTATGTTCAACATAAGAAATATTGGAAAAACACTTGTCACCAGAACCCAAGGAACCAAAATTGTATCTGATGGACTCAAAGGTCATGTGTTTGAAGTGAGCCTTGTTGATCTGCAGAATGATGAAGTTGCCTTTAGAAAATTCAGGCTAATTACTGAAGATGTTCAGGGCAAAAACTACCTAACTTCCATGGCATGGACCTCACCCGGGACAAAATGTGTTCCATAGTCAAAAATGGCAGACTTGGGGGCTGGGATTTTTACTAAATTTACTAATGGCTGGGATTCCACTGAGCCATTTTTTACTAAAAAACAACAATCAGAAATGGAAGACTTCTTATGCTCAGCACCAACAGGTCCGCCAGATCCAGAAGAAGATGCTGGATATCCTGACCCGGGAGGCGCAGACAAATGACTTGATGGAAGTGGTCAATAAACTGATTCCAGACAGTATTGGGAAAGACATAGCAAAGGCTTGCCGATCTATCTACCCTCTTCATGATGTCTTCGTCAGAAAAGTAAAAATGCTGAAGAAGCCCAAGTTTGAATTGAGAAAACTCATGGAGCTTCATGGTGAAGGTAGCAGCTCTGGAAAGGCTACTGGGGATGAGACTGGAGCTAAAGTTGAACCAGCTGATGGATATGAACCACCAGTGCAAGAGTCCGTTTAAGATCCAGATTTTTAATACTGATAAATAAAGTTCTATTTGTGTAAAAAAAAAAAAGCCAAACTGCTGAATTATACAAAATAAGCAACAAAAAGATCAATAAAGTGCTTGGTAAGCTCACAGAAGATATAAACAATGAACTTAATAAAATCAGTGTGGCTTTCGTCTCGGCCGCCGACATGCCCTCCAGACTAAGGAAGACCCGGAAGCTTCGGGGCCATGTGAGCCACGGCCATGGCCGCATCGGCAAGCACCGGAAGCATCCCGGAGGCCGGGGGAATGCTGGTGGCATGCATCATCACAGGATCAACTTCGACAAATATCACCCAGGTTACTTTTGGAAGGTTGGTATGAGGCATTACCACTTAAAGAGAAACCAGAGCTTCTGCCCAACTGTCAACCTTGATAAATTGTGGACATTGGTCAGTGAGCAGACACGAGTAAATGCTGCCAAAAACAAGACTGGAGTAGCTCCCATCATTGATGTAGTGCGATCGGGCTACTACAAAGTTCTTGGGAAGGGAAAGCTCCCAAAGCAGCCTGTCATCGTGAAAGCCAAGTTCTTCAGTAGAAGAGCTGAGGAGAAGATTAAGGGTGTTGGGGGGGCCTGTGTCCTGGTAGCTTGAAGCTTCTGGACAGGGGGCTTATTAAAATGCTAACAAATGGTAAAAAAATAAATAAATAAATAAAAAATAAAAAAATAAAATAAAATCAGTGTGCTGGGCTGGTGAGATGGCTCAGTGGTCTAAAGCACCTACTTAGAACAAGCTTAGCAAAGCACAGGGACCGCGGTTCAATTCCCCCAGCACCACATGCCAGCCAGCCCCCTGCCCCCTGGTGGGCTGAGCTGGCCACACACACACAAAATAAATAAATAAACAAATAAAATTTAAAAAAAAAAATCTTCAAGGTGCAAGGGATATAGGGATATAGCACAGTAGCACAGCACTGCCTGGCAAGTGCAAGGTCAAGAGCTTGATTTCTACTATCACAAAAAAAAAAAAAAAAGGAAGAAGAAAAAGGCCTGAAGAATGGCTTTTCTGTTTACAACACATCCAACAGGAATTTAGGGTCACTGTGACCAAGGGGCACAACACTTGTGACTTCCCTGTGAGCGAAGGTCCCACACATGTACTCCACATACTTCCACATGGCTTCTGGACAGTACGAATGGGACAAGGCTCTATGGCATTTAGTGAGGGAGGTGGGCATTGTCCAATGATCCATGGCAGTCTTAGAAGACCGAATTTCTATTTTCAATAAATTAAAAAAAAAAAAAAACAGGCATGGTAACCCATGCCTGTAATCTCAGCACTTGGGAGAAGGATTATTGTTAGTTTAAAACAAGCCTGGAGTACAGATTAAAAAAAAACATCTTTTTTAAGTAAAAGAGTTTTTTTTAGGGGGGGAGGGGTAGGATAGCTCAGATTGTCTTTGGGGCATGTGTGGTAAGGCCTGAGGAACAAGGGATTTGAACCACAGCATCCTGTGGCTCACGCCTCTCATTCAGTAGGCACTGAAAAAAGTCAGGTAATCCATTTTTAAAGTAGAGAAAATAAATCCTTCGTATTTAAGCTAGCAGCACTACTGTGAAAGCAAATAGACTAGGCAGGAGTATTGTTGCAAGTTTGAGGCCAGCCTGGGTTACAAAGTGAACTACATAATGAAACTATGTAAAAAAGACAGTAAAAAAAAAAAAAAAGAAAGAAACAAAGAAACAAAGAAACAAAAAAAAAAACAAACCAAGCAAGCAAATAATAAAGGCAAGAGAATGTGAAGAGTCAAATTGTACTGAACTTTCCTGAGGCACAAGTGAGTTCTTTTTTAACTCTTTCTCCCCTTCTCGGTACTGGGGACTGAATCCAGGGCCTTCACAATGAGCTATGTCCATTTTAACTTTTTTTTAAATTTTGAGATAGGGTCTTACTAAGTCATTAAGTTACCCAGAGTGTGCTCAAACTTGCTCTCTGCCAGTCTCAACCTCCTACAGTGCTGAGATTACAGGAAATGCACTCTGCCTTGGAAATCTAATTCTTCTTATCAAGGTCTTGAAGTAACATCCCCACCTTGTGGGCCTCTAGGATACTGTTAATCCTTCTGTACTCCATTTTTCACAAGGCTGAGCATAAACAGAAAGCAGATATATAATATTAAGAACTGTATTCATAAATTGGGCGTGGTGATGCACACTGGTAATCCCAGAACTAGGGAAGCTGAAGCAGGAAGACTGTTGCGAGTTCGAGACCAAGCTGGACTAACGTGAGCTCAAGACCAGTCTGAAAAGCACT